TCAACCTAAGGTCATTGTTCTTAAAACAATTGACATACTCTTAACTTTGTCGCACTAATTAAGCACTGAATTCTTTTTAGGTAAAACATTTATTTAAAGGAAATACTGACATCAGTAATATTGAATTGTTATCTGTTGGTTACATCCACAACACTCTTAAAATAAAAAGTTCGAAAAAGGGTTTTGGCGTGATGGCATAGAGTTCCATAAAGAACATTACATTGAACAGTTCTTAAAAAGGACCATTTCTTTTTTAGTGTGAAGAACATGCTAAAAAAAAAAAAACTATATAGAACATTTTGTCCAATGAAAAGTTTCCATGGATGGTAAAGGTTCTTCATGGAACCATAGATGCCAATAAAGAGCCTTTATTTTTAAGTGTAAAGGCCTCTTCACACCGTATAACTATAAAGATAATGATAAAGATATATAGTTCTAAAAATCGTTCTCAATATTAAAGAATAGCAGAGTCCACACCACAGCTAACGATAAAGGCACAGAGAAACGATATCGCTGGAATACATTTTTTTTTTTTAAGTCACAGTATCTGTTGACATTGAGCTGAACCCTGTGTCCAACCATGATTCATAAAATGGTCACTTAAAGTGACTCTCTTCTCATTTGAGACTCTTCTCTGCTCTTTCCTCCATCTATTCTCAGTGTTACACAACCACCTTCTTGTTTCTCCAGTGTACTCCCTTGTTTTTTGCTCTGGGTTTTCACTTTTATGGACAGAAAAGGTATGATTGAACAATTTAGTAAATTGCATTTCCTGTGCTGTGTGTATTACAGCAGAAATCAATACAACGACATTTGACAACATGATGTGCACTTGAGAATACGGCTTTGCTTTAGTTTTCTGTTACCTTTTGGCCAGCATGGGCCTTGAGTTGGAAACTGATGTGTAGTGTGCCAAGAAAAGTAATTTGTATAAAATGAATAATAATTTACTGCATGTTTAAGATAATTGCGAACAGGTTAGACGACTGTTTTGAGAATATTGGAAATTCATCTTATTTTGGAGAAGTATGTAAAATCGGTTGCGAAAAACCTTCCCTAATAAGCATTCTATCAAAAGTCCATTAATTTTTTTAATTAATGTTTTACGGTTTTTTTTTTTTGTACCGGTAAGCAATCCTAAATATCAGCTCTGGAATGTAAATTAGCAAAAATTAGTAAACTAAATTATGGAAAACCTTATTTTGTATTGTAAGAAATGAATACTTTTCATTGAGAAAGGATGCATTAAATGGATCATAAGTTCAATTTACAATGTTACAAAAAATAAATAAATGCTGTTCTTTTGAACTTTAAATTAATCTAAGGATCCTTAAAAGAAATGTGGTTTCCACAAAAGTATTAAGCAGAGCAACTGGTTTCAACATTAATAATAATAAGAAATGATCCTTAACCATGCACAAAATCAGCATACTTAGAATAATTTCTGAAGGATCAAGTTTATTGTAAACTGTAATCATATTGCAACCAATATTACAGTTGATTAGCCTTGGTGAGCATTAGAGACTTCTTACAAAAACACTGACAAATTTGATAAACCCCAAACTTTTAAACAGTTGTGTATATTAATATTTTAACCTACTTTCCTACAGAGAGTAACATCACTGGGAACAGTTAAGCATTTGTTCAGGCAAAACATTTCAGGTTCCTTTATGTTCTTCTGTGCATTATGTGTAGTAGCCTATACTCTTCAATTCATACCTCAGGTTTTCAATTTTAGTGATTAATTCCTGGGGCTTAAATGGGCATTGCTGAGATGATTTATTCTGGGAAATGAAGTGTTCTTCTACCATACTCCATAAAATGAAAATCATTGATTAAATATAATGAAATATAAATGGAAATTTCTGTTCCTGGAAATACCACTTATGCAGTGCATTTAATAACGTGTTTACGGGCAATTCATTTTCAACAAAAGTTACATGAATTAATTTGAATTTTATTTATTTAGAACTTTAATTCTACTTCTTTAAATTCAAATTTGAATAACAAATGCTGCCTAAATACACATTAAATTCAAAATGGACAAGAAGGCATGAATCCTTAATGGTGCGCACAACCTCAGAAACGCAAGTAAAAAGTTTTGCCAAAAGTTTTTGCTATCCAACTCTAAATTCAAGTCTGTCAAAATGTTAGACAGCACATTATTACAGTGCACTGGAGTGCCTGAACTCTGACCTTTAAGAGAATTTGAGACGTTCCAGGAAACCATGAAGGACGCGAGTTAACAGCAATGAACCTTATAGAAAGAATAAGAGAAAAAAAAACTTGTAAAATCAAGACGTTAACTTCAGGGGACAAAAAAGCTATTATAAATTTAACACGACCACTTGTATTTCCATATCACTCAGTGTGGCTGAACCTCTGCAGACACTAGTCTCCACTTTTACAACCGTTAACAGGCGTATAAAACTAAGCTCTCAAATAAATTCCTTCATCTTCCATAATGAATTCTCCAGGCTCTTTTGACATGTCACTGACGCAGGAGTGGATACGCGTTTGATACGTCAGAGCGATGATCAAAAACCACAGCATTCAAATTGACCGAAGCGGCACGCACATTAAACATGCTGCTGACACAGGCGCTCAGATTAGAGAGTGAGGTTGCAAGAATTTCCATACTGTATGGAACACACTGCAGCGCAGTCGAATATAAATGCACCAGAGCTGCCGGCAGAATTCATTTAGGTATCTTTGAGTCTCTCAGCTGAAGATTCCCTGAGCTTGAGATTAGAGCAATCCAGAGTCGAACCTGACATTCTTTTTCTAATGCTTTCAAATCAAACCTACAGCATACCGTTTGAGCTATTAAAGTTTGAGGAGTTCTCCTTGTAACTAGAACCATAAAACTCCATGAGGCTTTAGTGATGAATATACTCCGATCTAACCTCTATGAATCATTAAACCCTATTTTATTATCTCTAATGTTTCTGTTCTGCATACTACCAAAGGTTAGGTCTAAACTCTCTGTGCAGCACAAGCTGGATGTCATTCACAGCTGGACTGCAGAGTGTCTTTCTGAGATGATAATGTGTCAGGCTAATATCTGCGAGACTGCATTGCTAAAGGGACAAAGGATTCTCATTAGTCATACTGTCTATAAGACACTTATCCATCCTCTCTGCAGCTCCTCGGCTTATAATGAGAGAATTATTGCATCTTTCTACACGGCTGGAAAAACTGATTTTCGGTATTGCGCAAACAATTTAGCTTTCCGGTTAGGGAAACACAAAATTAAAGTGTTGTCAAATAAGCCACACTTCAAGAGTTTGCTAAAATGCAAATGACAATGCTGGATTTTTAACTCTTGAGCACTCGACTCTCAAACGGTCGGGAAAAATAGTGTTCCCAGTAACAACCGGTCCACGCCGGGGTGTTAGAGTCTGCGTACAAACATTAGTCTGCTGCTTTCACGCTGGCAACTCAAGAGCACCATCTTCTGGCAAGCTGAATGTCTTCCGGTCCAGTGTTTCTTGCACTTTTTTAGGCAGTGGAACAAAGAGTAAAAGCAAAATTGCAGGCTACCTAACATCCTAATCTCATTAGGATAGTGAAACAGAGGGCAGAGGCCCATTAGGCAGCCTTAATGACTACAAATAATTTAAATTAAGACAAATCAAGCTTTAAAGTAAATGAGCGTATTTCTTAAAGGGATAGTACACTCAAAAATGAAAAACATTTATCCTCATGTCGTTCCAAACCTGTATGCAGTTCTATTTTCGCTGAACACAAGAGAAGATATTTTGAAGAATGTTGATAACCAAACAGTTTCGGTTCCCACTGACTTCCATTGTATTTTTTTTTTTTCAGTCAATAGAAACCAAAAACTAACATTCTTCTAAATATCTTCTTTTGTGTTCCACAGAAGAAAAAAAAAGTCATACAAGTTTGGATGGAACGATATGAGGATGAGTAAATTATGGCAGAACTTTCCCTTTAATTTAATTCACCCCCAAACAGTATAATTATTTTAATTTTAATCTACTGAATGGACACTTTCTTTAAGTTAACTCCATAATTTTGGCAGACTGCCATTTTGTTCTTATTATCAACTATAACTAGACAGTTACTAATGAACCTAAATAATTAGATTTTTTCTTCATAGGAAGTCAGACCGAACACTTACATACATTATAAATGTACATACATTATTCACATAAATGTGACTATTTATAATAACAGAAACACTTTGCAGTCTTTAAGAAAACCGGCTTCCTCAAAACAATTGCTTTTATGTTGTGTTGTGTACAATATTCATAGCCTAAAGATGAATCATGAAATAACTTTTGCTGATCCATAATTTTGCCAGTCTGCTGTTTTGTTCTTTCATGTTCATTTCATTGGAATTAAATACATTGCTACTTTTAGCTAATGAGCATTAACTAGTAAAGCCTAAATGAGCCTCCTGTTTGTTAGGTAAGAAGTTGGATTGTACACAGTGCATGACTGTCATAATTTTCCAGGATTTAACTTATTGATATCCAAGTTGTCACTTAATACAACTTTACATTTCAGGTTGACTAAACTTAAAATTTTAAGGTATAATGAACCATTTTTTAAGCTGAAACAACAATTTGTCTATTGAAAGTGTTTTTTTTTTTTCTTAGACATTTTATCAACAGAACAATCAGTACGGTTAAAACAACAGTAAGGTCTGTTGAAGTGAGAGGACACAAACTTAAATTATTAATGTTACAATCTGTTAATTCATTGTCATGAGTTGGTTGTTTTTTGTCAATTATAATTATTTTATTTAATTATCTATTTAGCTTATTATTTTTAATTAGTCAAAAAAAACTCAACTGGAATCCTTCAAACCACTGTTTGAGAACCACTGATTTAATCCATCAAATAAAATATGAGTAAATATTTCTCCTTTTTTAATATTCTCTCTGTGCTTTTGTTTTATTACTAACAGAAGGGAACAAACAAAAAAAAACACTATAAATATGGAATCACTCACTAAAAAGCTATTTAGATGCATGCCAATCATTGCTTTATTTGAAACTTTAACACTGCTAGGCCTCCCTGATAAACTGAAAATGCAAATCTGACTTAACATAATGTTATATTCAAGACCTAAATCTAATTATTCTGCTATAGCATTTATATCCAGGATCTGTATTGAGTTTCTGGTTTCTAATGCGCAGAATCTGGTAGCAGGCAAGTGTTTTATATACAAGTAATAGGGAACAAAACTATTTTTTTTACATTTACAATACATTTATTAAATTTGTATTTATTAAAAATGCATTTGCATGAAAAAGACTTCATACTATCTTATTCTGAACATCCTCGCCAGAAAGAAAAGCTCTGCGGACTCCTTCCTGCTTGCTCTCGGTTTTACTGTTTTTACATCTTGAAACATAGAGGAAAGCCTCTGCTGGAGCTTATGGGCCAAAGCTCCATCCCAGTATTTACAAATCAAAGAGCCTCCGGGGCGCAAAACCTTGTCAGCCAAGTCCAGCACTGATAGACACATGGTGACCAGTCTTTCATGATCCAGTTCCCTGAGCCCACTGGCATTGGGGGCCATGTCACTGAGGATGACATCTGCTCGAGCTTCAGGGAGGAGCCTCTCCAGCGCCATGTGAGTCGAGGGCTCAGTGATGTCATGATTGGACAGCAGCTGAGCTCCATCCAAGGCGGAAATGCGTAATATATCTATTCCTATTACGCTTCCTTTAGGAAGATCCACACCTGGAATGAACAAAGGTATAGTGTTTATATCCTCGTCAGCTAAAATAAATGGCACCTAAACCAAAATGTAATAGTCTAATAGATTATAAATATAAGTATTTCTATCTATCTATAAATCTATCTATCTATCCAAGAACTCACCACCAAACACCACTGACTTGTACATATGGGTAAGGTCATTTTAGACACTTCCAAAACTGTTGCAACAGAGATGGAAATACAATTTTTAAATACATGAATTATGTTTCCATCTTTTTTGACAGTTTTAGAAGTGCCTTCTGTTCTAAAGAAGGGGGTGTCCCAATACTTTTGTCAACATAGTGTATGTACAAGTCATTGGTGTTTGGTGATGAGTTTTTGGCTCAGGGTCTGCATGTAATGTCCCACCAGAGGTGTTCAGCTGGGATTAAGACTTGGCTTTCTGCAGACCAGTCAAGTTCTTCCACACTGACTGAATCAATCTTTTTTTTTTGAACCTTGCCTTTTACACAGAGGCATTGTTGTGTTCATTATATGCTTAAACATTAAGATTTGTGCTCATGGAAATTACTGAAGTAGTCAAACTTATTCATCGGAAGGGGGTGTCCCAATACTTTTGGCAATATAGTGTATGTTTAAAATTTGTTCTATAGACATATATAAATTGTACTTATATATGAATTACTTTTTTTTTTTTTTCAAATAATGATGATGGATGGGTTGAACAGTTGAGTACAAACAACGAAGTGCTCAGAATGCATATATATATATTATTCATTCATTTATTTATTTCATAATGGAATTCATAATGGAATGAATTTACTATTATTCTAATGTAACGATTCACTCAACTCACGATTCGATTTGATTCACAATTTTGATTTCACGATTCGATGCACGATTTTATTTTAACAAAATGAGATTTAAGACAAATTATAAATTAAATGTGTCCTTTTATTATTGCTTGGACATTGGACAGCATGTTTCTTTGTGAAATTGAAATATAACACTATAATAATATACTAATACAGCACTTGTTGGTTTTGATTGCTTCTATTGTCCTCATTTGTAAGTCGCTTTGGAGAAAAGCGTCTGCTAAATAACAAATTTTTATATGATGTAAATGTAAATAACAAAACTAAATTGAAACTTTAAAACAAGCATAAAAAATAAATAAGTAACACAAATAACAGAAATCTCTTCATATAAACAAACCAAAAACTCTCCTTACTCATAACCCCAGGCTTCAGTGCCACATGACTCTTCAGAATTCATTCTTATATGATTATTTGCTGCTCAAGAAACATTTCTTCTTATTATTAATGTTGAAAACAAACTAAGGCTTTGTCTGTGCTCTTTCCATTTAAAATTAGAGGCAACCACTGCATTTTAATCATGATCCAAACAAAGATGCTGCATACATTCAACATGAGCAGTTTTTAACCTAAATTAGATTGTATAATTTCGAAATTTCCTAAATTAGATTGTATAATTTCGAAATTTCAAAAACTCTCCTTACTCATAACCCCAGGCTTCAGTGCCACATGATTCTTCAGAATTCATTCTTATATGATTATTTGCTGCTCACGAAACATTTCTTCTTATTATTAATGTTGAAAACAATTGTGCTGCTTCACATTTTTGTGGAAACAGTGAAACGTGATTTTCAGGATTCTTTGTTTATTTGCATTTATTTGTACAAACATAAGTGATTTTACTCTCAGTTGATCAATTGAATATATCGCTGCTAAATAAAATCTATTATTTTCTTTCAAAACAAACAAACAAACCGTTTTAGCTGTAGTGTATGTATACTAAGATGACATGCATGGATATTATATGATGTTACATTTGGTGATCCATAATTCAGCAGCTCACTAACTTTCTCCTGTTGAGTTGACTCTCTGGACTGCAACTTGACTCCATGCACCAGGCGCAGCACCGCAATCTACGACACTCGAGCCAGGTTTGAGAAGTCTGTATTTGTCATCTATCTCGATCAGTTTAAAGGCACTTCTACAGCGGTAATTCTGCGCGTGAGCAGCTTTAACGAAAGGGTCACTGAGCTGCCGCACCAGCCATCTCTGATCGGCAGCACTCTTCCCCTTCATATGCAGAGGCGTCTTCTTTAGAGAGACCGCTGACACGTGAATGAACGACCTTTGGATCCGTTTCCACATCGTTTACAAACAATAGATGTGGAGAGATACTTTTAGAGCTTAAGTGCAAGAAAACAAGACACATGTGCGTCTATGGTGTCCTCGTGCTGTCAAAGATGCGCGCATTGTGCGCAGACTCTTAGATCACTGAGTTATGCATTATCGTGCTTTATATGTCTGTAGGATATTATTAATTATTTAGATGAAATGCATTCATCAGTTAGTGATCATTTCACTGTTATACACGGTCATCTTTGAGTTTTTGTGTCTAATGATTGCTTTCAGTATCAATCGAGAATATTTGACTGTTGCACACTCATTTTTAGAGCTTACGTGCAAGAAAACAAGACACGTGCGTCTATGGTGTCCTCGTGCTGTCAAAGATGCGCGCATTGTGCGCAGACTCTTAGATCACTGAGCTATGCATTATCGTGCTTTATATGTCTGTAGGATATTATTAATTATTTAGATGAAATGCATTCATCAGTTAGTGATCATTTCACTGTTATACACGGTCATCTTTGAGTTTTTGTGTCTAATGATTGCTTTCAGTATCAATCGAGAATATTTGACTGTTGCACACTCCGAATTACGATTCGATGACTCGTTCTTTTGAGTCGGATCTTTTCAATGATTTACATGTGGCGAAATGAGGAATACTAGCCTTTAGTGGTCGTATATAGCAGAAATGTTACAATGTACTTGAAATATATTTACGGTTTGGCTAAAACGTAAAATTTTTTTGTCAATTTCTGTAACTGAAATGTAGGTTTAGTTCGTATGGTTCTGTTCAAAAGAACCGATTCACATAAATGAGTCACTTTTCCTATCGAGAACATTTCACTGTTGCACACAGTGTAGGTAGGTGGAGTCAACTATCGCTGGTGGACTAATATGTTTTCGCAGATCTGTAAATCATATGTTGCATTTGGATAAATACCAATCTGAATAAGATGTCAATCACTATTATGACTAAATTCACTGTTGTCAATCTGAAGCCTCCATGTGATAATCTGACCGCGAGCAACACGCGGGAACAAGACCGATTCATTAAACTGAGACGCAAATATCTGCATATTGACGTATCTGATTTTTATACCGTATATGTGATTACATTTTTTGTCTACTTATTATTTTGGACAAAGTAAGCCAATTATTTGGACAGAAGTATATGTGAAGTGAATAGTTTAATCATTGATTGTCCGATCTATTAATAGTTGTTGCTTGATGTGCATAGCTGTAAAAAAAAAAAAAAAAAAAAGTTAATCATGTTTTGAATGCTGAAAGTGTAAATAAAAGTCAAAATATTATACTGTCTGTATAATGGAGATTAGCATAATTTTAAAGGAAGTCTAACAAATAGTCTACTATCCATTAAAGACACTATTGTATGTATAGGGTGATGTTGACTAATAAACTGCTGACCCTGGTGCTGGTGGTGCAGCCCGGCCGGGTGTTGTTGGGCATGAAGAAAAGAGGCTTTGGAGCTGGCAAATGGAATGGGTTTGGAGGGAAAGTTCAGCCAGGAGAGACTATAGAGCAGGCGGCCAGACGGTGAGCCTAACAGCCATTCACACATATTATTGTAACAATACCACACAAGGGTTACTGTTGCCCCAAAAAAGTGTTATAGTTTTGGTTAATATTTTGAATTAGATTTTAATTTCATTTTAGTTAAAGTTTAGTTCAGGGCTGACCAAACTCGGTCCTGGAGGGCCGGTGTCCTGCAGAGTTTAGCTCCAACTTGCCTCAACACACCTGCTGGTAAGTTTCTAGTATGCCTATAAGAGCTTGATTAGCTGGTTCAGGTGTGTTTAATTGGGGTTGGAGCTAAACTCTGCAGGACACCGGCCCTCCAGGACCGAGTTTGGGCACCCCTGGTTTAGTTAGTCTTTTTGTTGAGTGTTTTGTCACTTTGCTAGTTTATTAAAGTATGACTATAAGTTTTAATTTATTTAGTTTTAGTCATTTTAGTATTTCAGTTTAAACTAAACAAAAATGAGACCTGTTGAACTAGCTTTCATTTTGTAATATTTTATTTTAATGATTTTTTTATTGTTTTTATTTTAGTTAACAATAATAACTCTGGTTAATATATGGAGGCCATTTCTGAAATGGGAAAGGGGAAATTTCTAATTTAGTGGTCAAAACAATTTAAATCTCACTTTTTTTGTTCTTTTTTTTTTCGTGAGCATATAATGTTATTATAATTAATAATTATGATGAAGTTTGCAGGTCAAACTGACCGTAACTGGTTTTACTACAAGGTTACAACAGTAAAAACATGATAAATAAAACTGTATTTAACACATATTTAGTTATTTTATGTTTGTGCTCTTGGAGGCTATGTTTTTTGCAATGTTTTTACAGGGTGTTTTGAACGTACTGTAAAACATTTCCAGGGACAAGAAAATTGGACGTTTGGTTACCTTTTAGTTAATATAATTGTCTTGCAGTTCAAACGCTGAATCATAGCAGTTGTTTTCAGGTATAAAAGCATTAAGAATGGTCTTCTCTCTGGTGCCAAGAGCCGATAGATAGATATAGATAGACAGACAGACAGACAGACATTTTATTTTTTAGAATATTTCTTTCACAAATGTACAGTGCTATGTTTCCCTTTAAAAAAGCTATTATATTCTTCCAGTGTCTTTTTTCACTTCCTTGAAGCTCCAGATCAAAGTTAAACAGCTTGAACCTTGTAATGCTGAGAATGTTTTATATTATTTACTTGTCTGTAAAACTTAACAATGGTGTCAGCGTTTGGCCATGTTCAATCTTCCCTGCTTTTATTGGTTTTCTAGCTAAAACAAAATGACATTTTATTTGACAGGGAGCTGCTAGAGGAAAGTGGCCTCACCGTTGACACCCTCCACAAGATTGGAAATATCAAATTTGAGTTTATTGGGGAAACGGAACTGCTGGATGTCCACATTTTTAGAGCTGACACCTATAAAGGAGTGCCAACCGAATCAGACGGTAATAAAGCGCCACATCACTTAATGATCCAGTTTGTGAGACACATACTGAGACAGAAGGTCTAATAACGTTTGTTTTCTCTTTCAGAGATGAGGCCACAGTGGTTTGACACCGATAAAATACCTTTCATCCAGATGTGGGCAGATGATGTCCTGTGGTTCCCACTGATGCTTCAGAAAAAGAAGTTCTTGGGATATTTTAAATTCCACGGTCATGATGTGATAGTGGAGCATAAACTGGAGGAAGTGGAGGATGTGTGATTGGGGTTTGAACACCACTGATGAACATTGCCACTGTATCAGTGGAAATTATCCAACTACATGGTTTCTTGGATACGATGTGAAATCATGAGATATGAAATGCTGTAGTTTAATGTAATAAATGTACAGCATTTTGTATAAGCACACTTTTTTTGCATGGCTAAATAGCATTATCTGTTAGTTTGGTGTTCCATTTATATTTAGGTTAAATTCACACATCTTCTGTATTCTGATGTTTTGTTTTTACCACCTTCTTTGTTCATCATTCCTACAACGGTTGTTCAATAGAGTACACCAAAAATCATACCTTTCTTACCAAGATCTTTACTATTCATCTACCTGTCATCTACTAAATAAAGTACTTGAAAGTGCAGAATAAAACGAAGTATCTATCATCATTCTATCTGTCTATCTATCTTGTCTGTCTATCTATCTATCTGTCGTCTATCTATAACTATCTGTCTGTCTCTATCTGTCTATCGTCTATCTATCTGTCTATCTATCTCTGTCGTCTATCTATCTATGACTATCTGTCTCTACCTATCTTGTCTATCTGTCGTCTATCTATCTATCTGTCTATCATCTATCTGTCTGTCTATATATCTGTCTATCGTCTATCTGTCTATCTAGCTGTCTATGACTATCTGTCTATCTAGCTGTCTATCTGTCGTCTATCTATGACTATCTGTCTATCTATCTGTCGTCTATCCATCTGACTATCTGTCTCTATCTTGTCTATCTATCTGTCTGTCTATCTATCTATGACTATCTATCTTGTCTGTTTGTCTGTCTATATCTATCTGTCTGTCGTCTATCTATGACTGTCTATCTGTTTGTCTATCATCTATCTGTCTATCGTCTATCTGTTTGTCTATCATCTATCTATCTGTTTGTGTCTGTCTATCGTCTATCTATCTATCTGTCTGTCTGTCTGTCTGTTATAGTGGAAATAAACAACTGCAAGTACACAGACTGAATGTAATACAGGTGAAACCTAATTCTCAAACTATTTGCCCTCTGTGCCAGCAGGTGGCAGGATTGAATACATATTGGAGTACAACAACTGTTTCCATTTCTTTAATGATTTACCTTGTTCAAACATAAATCAAACATGTACAATTGATAATAATAAGCTCTGCTAAATTCAATTCAAGTTTATTTGTATAGTGATTTTTCCTAAAGGGTTTTATAGAATGTTAAACAATTAAGACAATAATATGCATGATGCATGCATTATCAACCAACAGCATCTATACAACTTTATGGTAAATTTAATGTAAAACGTTTTTGTTTTTCCAGACACATATTTTGAAGTATAGTTTACATGATAGCTTACTAGCAGTGTGAGAATTGTAGACCTTCAAGATTTATTGAATGAAAACAGGTCTTTAGCGTATAGAGCAGCTAATAATAACTATTTCATGCTCATTGTAGTTACTACTTAAGACTCTCTGAATCCAGGCTTAGGCTTAACAACAAAAAAAACTTTCACATTTTACAGAACTGTCATACAACTAGTAGTCAACATTTGAAGTGGATCAAAAAAGTTCATCAAAGTTGTCCTAAGAAAAGAACGCATTTTGGCTTTAGGCTTTAGAACAACTTTGATCTGCTTCAAAACCGGACAAGGTTTTGATCCGCTTCAAATGGTGAGTGACTAGAGTAGTTTGAAAGTGTTCGCTTGTATACACTACTGTTCAAAAGTTTGAATACCTCACGGTAATGCTCAGCAAGAATGCAAGTATATGCTGTTTTCCTGCTCAAGAAACATTTCTTGTCATTGTTGGACACAATTGTGCTGATTCATATTTTTGTGAAAACCGTGATACATTTTTCAGGATACTTTGATGAACAGGAAGTGCAAAAGAACAGCGTTTATTTGAAATATTATTCTTTTGTAACACTATAAATGTCTTCACTGTTACTTCTACTAAATGCATTGTGCTCAGGCTGAATAAAAGTATTAATTGTTTCAAAAATAAAACCTTACTAACTCCAGACTTTTGAATGGTAGTGTAAATATTACTTACAAATTAAGATGAAATGTGAAAAACCTGCAAG